ACACACACACACACACACACACACACACACACACACAACAAAACTGTGAGAGATCACCTGACCGTTGTTTTCGAAGCGGGGGCTCAGAGGCAACTTGACTGCATCTGGCTGCATCTCTGACCAGTCCGGGACTTCAGAGTCTAAAATCTTTGTATTATTTAAACGTTAATGTGTTTGGAGCGTAGTTTGTTATCTTACAAACATGTACAACTTGCACGTAAACTCCTGATTGTCAAAGGAGCAGCGCTGCYGCGGGAGTGCACTTTCTTATAAACACTATAGCCTAAGAATATTTATATGCACCACATTATAACACAAACATGTCTTMGTTTGACTTTAATTTTCCACTAAAATCACTCTGAGTCACCTTCAAGTGTTGGTTTATCATAAATATCTGCTAAATTTATTTCTACCTTGTGTTTTATCCACAACAAGTTGTTTGTTTTGTGCTAAACTTATTTAGAACCATACTAAGAGGTTTTTTAAATAAATATATCAGAGCTCTCAGCTTAAAACACTAAAATGACATGAAAGTAAATTAGAGAACATCTTTTTAAATTATTCCTTTTCTTGCAGAATGTCATCAGTCTTGAAAATTTAAATATCACAAGTTAAATTATTCTTACAACTTCCACACTTCATTAAAGAACAATACTGTGTACTTTTACTAAGGTCATAAACTCAAAACCTTTGACCTTTATGTATGAAGAAGCTCATGAATGTGGTACTGGGTGGTGGTGCAGAGTGATGCTTGGCTAACCTGTAGGTGTAGAAAATATTTCAGTCAAAATATGTTTTTCTGCTTTAATGCCTGAGCCTTAAATACTCTTTGCATGCCTCTCTTTTAAAGTCTGATGACAAAGAAGAGGAAGAGAATGAGGAAGTTCTACTCAAGCAGCTCCTGAAACTGTCAACCTGCTGACTGAGAACATTTGTATACAGTAAACTTTGTCTACAGAACTAATAAGTATCTAATCGATACTTATTAAAGGCGGCCTATTATGGGGGTCTTAGCTCAAGTTAGGATCCATCTGTGGGCTATAAAAAACATGTTCATTTGGTTTAATTCACAAAAACAATCTCAGATAATGAAATTTTCACCTTTTCAGTTCTTCCTGTTCTTCAGCTCTCTCTAGAACATGCTGGAAACCCCCCTCCCAACCGTTTGTTTACTTTAGCTCCGCCCCCCGACATGGTAGAAGTTTCCAAACTGAAATTATTTTCACAAACTACAGATTTCTTTGGCAATATTGTCAGAACATTGTCATCAAAGATAAAAATTAAATTAATCCAGGCATCTCTGTTCTCCATGGCTGCTGTAAAAACAGAACAACTATCATCTTTTGAGGAAGTGGGCGAGGAGCAGGACTCTGGTTTAGGTTGCTAGGTGACTGTTATTGTGACGTCAGAATAACGTGCTTTGAGAAAAAAACGTTTCCAGATACATAAAAATACATGTTATTACAGCTAAAAACAAGGCTGGGTGTATTTTTTTGGTGTTTGGACTGCTTCTCTAAGCAGTAGAGACCCAAAAATAAGTTTAAAAAAAGTGAGTTTTGCATAATAGGCCCACTTTAATAT